ACTAACAATTATAGCTGTAAACTGCAACCATCACAAACTCATTGGAAAAATCTATACCATTTCTGAAATCTCGTTTAATATGATGGGTGTTAATAAACTTCCTGGATCTTTTCAGACGTAAGTAGGCATATACTTCGTTCAATGTGATGACATACCTTTTTAACAGCAGAATAAGAGAATTTCGCTTCTGAAAGTCCTGTAAGGAAGCCAACCTCCACCCAAGAAAAAATCAATTTTAGGCGCTACCTGTACGTACACATCACCACATTTGAACTGAATAGCAACAGAAGGGTCAGGGCTTTTAACACAGGCTACGTGAGTGGTCGAGACAGAGTGACTGGTTATAAAAATTGTTACTATATATCGTAAACAACTCTCTTTTAATTCAGCATTGTTTTTAAAATGACAAATATAACATATTTCTCATGTATATACGTACATATATATATTCAATTCTAGGAACTAAACGCAATTGAAACCCTCTTAACCAACACAGCTGTCAATGACGACAGATAGTCACGTTTCTTTTATGTTATCATATATATATATATCAACATGTACAAGCATATTTTAAGAGCCCTACACCAGCTTATTTAAGAATTGTGACCTTTAAGGCTTAAATTATCATTTTTCATCAATCTATTCACCAATGCCAAGCACTTTAATTGATAATGAAATTATTTCTAATCATTCGAAATTAGGTTTGACTAAGATATTTTTCCGGTAGTCAAGTAAAATATTACTCAAGTAATGAAAAAAGAAACCAGTTTCACTGCTTTGCAGAAAGTATTTAAATATAGTTTGAAGACAATTAAATCAATTATTTTGAAAATAGCTATAGCCCGAATATATAATCTCAAGCCAATAGAATTAACAGTTCTTCTATTAATTCTGGTGTACATTCTGCCTACAATGTAGTTAACCATTTTCGGGTAAATAAAGTTCAATGTTTTGTAATAACACAAGTATATATATATATATAATAAAATAAATAACTTCAATACTATTTATTACATTGATTGTTAATAGGCGATTAAAATCAGCACAACATATAACAATAATGAACTTAATATAAAATAAGCAGTAAAGAAATTTTGGTAGAGGTTCCATTGTCAGTCCTAGTTGTCACCTTAAAGTCATAGCGGATAATGGCTGTGGTAATAGCTCCCAAATGCGTTGGGGATATCCCATCTATCAGACAAAATCCAAACGCTGATATTAAAAAAGCTAGTTGTCGTGGAAAATCAATTAAGGGTACGGAGCTGAGTGCTTACACCCACAATGTCTCAACTCCTACTGCCTTTTACCGTCTGCAGCCAGTTGTGGGAGGACAGTTACCCTTAAAAGTTCTTATAGTTCCTAAAGAAGAAATGAAACCACCCTAAAATTTCTACAATATGAAACTCCCAACTTCTGCCCTTACAAAAGAAATTAAATAAAATAAAAATAAATTATCTTACATAGAACCCGATTGGAAATTTCATATAGTTGATTCACAGAGGCTTCAATGTATCAAACAAGTTCCTTTAATATCTCCAATTACCTCTATAGCTATCCCAAAGTGATTCGTGCCCGCCTGTGGTATCTAAGCATGTTTGCCACGTTTGATCTCACTGTCTTATGAGTGGGGATATGAACATAGTTTTATGAATGACGCTCTGGTATCCCGAGGGGGCCAAGAACACAAAATCGTAGAAGTAACTTGTGTACACGTAAATTATATCGCTTTCTCTGTGAAGATCCTTTTTGGTTATGTTGCGTACTACTCCCAGAAACACGTGGACGGCTTTTACCACTGATTTTTACCTTCGTGAATTCTCACCTGTTACCAGAAGCAATGCTTTGCTTAACATGGTTGGGTACTGACTTGTTTCAAATCTCTTTCTGTGTGGTGCTTGTGTCCCGGGTTGATCCATATTTCTTTGTTTTCTAACGCATTGAGTAACAAGGATATATCCGTCCTGGAAACTTTAAATCCTCGATGTGAATACATCTTTAACATCTGAGTGTAAGAAGAATTCCCGAAGGAAAGGATTACTACATATTTTCCAATTTCTGGTTCTCTACACAACGTCAAACAATGTCAAAATGTAGTTCTAATACATTTCGTTCCACCACAGCTTAATATCGGCTGTGGTTGTCACATGAATTATTGATTTATATAATATAACGTACATGAACCTCTAAGTTAGTCTGGATATTAGAATTGCATCTATGGAAAATTACGCCTTGTCTTATTATAAACAACAAAATGCAATATTAAAAACTTAGCTTGTGTTTCAATTCAAAATATCAGATTACTTATTTCCATTTTATTTTTAAAGAGAAGAGTAACTTTTAGTCGACATTAATTTGTACAAGCTTTTGTACAGCCTTCCATCTGAATGTATTTACCACCTCAGGGAAGCGATTACACGGATATAAACAAGATACAAACATATGGCCAGACAAGTATAATTTCTATGAAATTGTTACTGTGGTATGTAACCCCAGCCCGAAGCTAGGATTAATTATTGTTTAGGACTATTCACATTCCGTTCACATGGACACCAGCAAATTTCAGAACATATACAAAATAATTTTTAAACATCTTCTTCAATATACTTGGGTAAATATATATACATTGATTCTTAGTTATAGATGAGTAAAACATGGCATTTTTCCAACTGTTTCATGCGACAGAGAAATTCTTGTAACCTTTACCTTCACTACGTGAGTGCAGCTGGTGTTTCATAATATTGTGATATTAACGTGAGTCATCCATACCAGAAGCTTTAGTGTTCTACTTTTTTAGTTGTTGAAAACCTGTTTAATATGCGAACTTACAATTTAACGAGTAAGGAGAGCTGTCTTTGTTTAGTATTGTAATATTGTACTGTCTTTGTAATAACGATAAAACATTTTCTAGGCACTATTAATGCACTAAAATTACTCAAGTAAATATTATCAGGATATTTAAGGATTTCAATCAAAATTATACAATGATAAATTTGTAACTGTCTAAACTAACACGCCGCTACAACCAGGGTTCAACAACAAAAAACAACAACAATTTATTAAACTGTAACAACACTTTGAAGGAACTTACCCAAAACACAGTTAATAAACACTTGCCTGGCCAGGACTTGATACTAATGTTAATGAACAATAAAACATGAATATCAATATTAATTATTTCAAGATAATGGAATGAGAAAAAGAACCAGAATAAGAAAACCCTAATTAAAAAAAAAGAAATTCCAAAATTACTTTTTCTATACTAATAACAATATCGAATGACAAACAGCAATAATTCATTAACAATATCGCTCATAAACTATCGCGTGACTCAGTTTATGAAGCTTATGACAGGGTATTTATTCGCTGCTTAGGTCACGAGAGTACAACCCCTGTGATAATAAATTTACATACTCTTTTGCTACATTGATAATATATGTACGTCACCGCTAAAGAAGCTGGTGTCAGTTTCATAATACATACACATTTACTCAAAATAAACGTGATCAGTTAGAAGGTGAGTTAGCGTCTTAATATAATTAAACATTTATAAACGATTTATAAACGATAAAATAAACGATGGAAGAAATAATAAATGAACGATAAACAAAACCATAACCATAAAAAGTAGAATTCGCTATCTCACAAATTTACTAAAGCGTGATACGATTAACAGTAACGTGAAACGTACCAAGCTAATTTATTAAAAATCTTAAAAGAGGTTTATGCCAACGAAGTAGGTATATCTACACAATAAGAGATTGTCGAATAATATAGGTAAAAATATAGTAATGATGCATGAATTATCTTTCAGCTGACAGCATGGGATAAATTACCAATACAAATAGTTTTAAACAGACAATGTTAGCAGTGCAATTAATAGCACAAAATAATAATTACTTATAATTATAATTAGTTATGTTTTGAAGTTCAGACTGACAACGAAAAGTGCAAGGATTTTTAAACTCATTGATACAGACATGCAGATCAAAATGTATAGCATCTCAAGGGAAAGAGATCGCCATAACAAACCAAAGTGGCCATATCAGTGGCTTGGTTTGAACTTCGCGAAAAGCTTCAGAAGAGCTATCTACACTAGCCATTCCTAATTTAGCAGTGATAGACTAGAGGGAAGACAGTTAGTAAACACAACACATCACCACCTGTTGGGCTACTTTTTACCAACGATTTGTTTGTTTGTTTGTAATTAAGCACAAAGCTACACAATGGGCTATCTGTGCTCTGCCCGCCACAGGTATCGAAACCCGGTTTCTAGCGTTGTAAGTCCGCAGACATACCGCTGTGCCACTGGGGAGCATTTACCAATGAACAGTAGGATTGACTATGTTACAGCTGAAAGGGTGAGCATGTTCTGTGACAGGGATTCGAACCCGCGACCCTCAGATTGCGAGTGAAGCGCCTTATCCACCAGGCCCTGCCAGGCCTTAACATACGAGAAAACTTTGGATGAGAGAGAGAGAGAGTAAAAAATTGTGAAAAAATCAACAGATGGAAAGAAAAACTCGAGTAAAATACATCAGATATTCAGACAGAGCACAGAAAAAAATCAAAAATATGTATAAAGAATGAAAGAAATTGGAATTTTAAATAAAACAATTATAAACTCAAATACGTGATAGTAAAAAAAAAGTTTCATTATTGTTTGTTTTTAACTTTGTTAAAATTCCAATAAAGGACACTTCTGTAATGATTTTAAATGGATATTCGCATATAAGATATATAATACACAGAACCATTCTTTGAATCAGTAGTAGTTTTGTATGGTGTTTCTCACTCCTCCAAATTCTGTTGGAGGTGAGAGTATCCGGGAGTAGGACTTGCGTCTTAGTCCGGACACCAGGCCTTTGAACTAGTTGAGCATTGTAACGAGATCTATGTGCACAAAAATAGATTCTTGTACAACATGAAGTACCCTTCCAGAGTTAACTGAGAGCTTGCTTTATCAGTGTAAGATACTTAACACAAACGTATTTTTTTTACAGTATCTGGAAAGACGATTTAGTCGAGTGGTCAGAACTCTTGGATCTATGGTGTTTTCTATTCAAATGGTAAGTTCCTCTCCAGCTAACGTAATCGATTAAACTTTACAAATATTGATTACTCTACAATTTTCCAAGTGCATACTCTGCAAAAATAAAAAAGGTTAGACCTCTATCATATAATTAATAAAAGCCTTACGTTAACAACTAATTATTAAAATATTTTGTATATTGTAATGTAAACACGTTAAATAATTCTGGAATCAGATCGGACTACTGTGACATTATTTTTGGTTACGGAATAACTTAAACAGTTCACTGTGCGATCACTTAATATATAACTACTTATTCAAAAAATAACTTAAACAGTTGACTGTGCGATCACTTAATATATAACTACTTATTCAAAAAATAACTTAAACAGTTGACTGTTCGATCACTTATTATATAACTACTTACTCAAAAAATAACTTAAACAGTTGACTGTTCGATCACTTAATATATATACCTAATAATTCAAAAATAGCTTGAATAATCTAGGCTTATATACTATTTTGGTGATTACCAAATCAAAATAACTTTATGAACAGCTCGGCTGTATAAATATAACGTTAATGTTGTTTTTCTAACTATGACAATATTCTTTTAAGATTCACACCGTAGTAAGAAGGTAAATTGTTGTTTTCATCCTTGATATATATATCTTCAACAGCTTATAAGTCTAGTTAAAATTATCCTCTTACAAACAAATGTGTTCAACTAGAGCATACTGTAACTTAGACGTTTAATAAGGTCGTTACCAACGCCTACTGCAAAACACGTGTCTAGAAATGTATCAAAATTAAAACTATCTAAGAAAATATCGTGAAACTTTGTTTGTCTCTCTCTCTTTCTTAATAGAACAAAACACAAAAACTTTCTTGAATGTCTCTATATTAACAACTAAGATGAATACTATTTTTTCCTGGCTCTACCGACTTTTACGCAGTTGATTTTTTAACACATACCCACTAACTTAGTGTCTTTTTATTACATTATTTTTCACGCTGACGGAGAAATGTTGATGTCAGTTCTGAATTACAGTGTTTAGTTTTGCTGATCGTTATAATTCTGCTGATTCCGAAATTGCTTTAATGATATTTTGATACATATTAGAAAATGGTTTCATAAGCACGTTTTCGAATGTCATTGTTTTTATAAGCCAAGCGCTTCGTGACTAATGTTGTCTCAATTTTCTTTCGCTGATTTTAGATTATGTACATGGCAATTGTACTATACGCTCCATCTTTGGCCCTTTCACAAGGTAGGATGAAAATATTATTATGATATTTACTTATGAACAATTTAGATAATTATTTTCAGTCTTTGTTGATAATCACGTAAGTTTATAGAATAAGTATGCCATAGTGTGAATGTTTGAATGAGAGATCCAAGTAAAATTCCTACAACTAGATAAAGATCTAAAATAAAAAGCCTATCATTTCAATTTATTTGTGAAACTTCTGAGCAATTCGAATTTAAGACATTTTGAACGAAAATTGGTGTAAATTTCAAATAAACTTCAAAATGCGTATCTCCAAATATTTCAACAATATAGATTAATCACCTGTTCCAAGTTAACATATATGTTTATGCCCGTATTAGTAAATAATACATCAAACGAAAAAAAAGTATGCCATCTTACGACTCTCCTTGGCTCAGCGGTAAGCTTGAAGGCTTAAAAAGCTAAAGTTTAGGACTCGATCCCTGCGGTAGGCACAACACTGACAACCTGCTGCAATCAGGCGGTAGTCACGCCCAGCCAAATGAGGATTCTCATTTCTTGAATGTGTATTCGCTCCCTTTCTGCACCAGTGAACATCGGATGTTCTTTACAAAAGAAAGAAAAAAAGAAACATATAACAATAAGAAATACGTATAATGATGACAGGCGATTACTTCGATTCACTTTCAGCAGCAATTGGTATCTATTGTTACAGGAAATTTGAAATATTCTGTTTCTTTGTTTTTCGTAATTTCCTGTGAGTTAAGTTGTCATGTTTGCGCCAACATTATTCGTTTACCAGTTTTGGACACAAAAAAATTATTCTGTGTACTCTATGTTACACAGAAAATATACATATGTATTTTTGGAAGTAAAAAATGTGCTGTACAGTGTGAAACTAACGTACCACTAATATATATAAACTGTCCTTGTCGTATTCAACAACTTTGATTTTATTAATAAACTAGCCGTAGTACCCATCCCCTGGATGGAAGTTATGTAAATTCATGATTAGTGAAAGGTTATCTTAGGACATGAAAAGTTGCTTCCCCTATATGTAATTGTAAGAGAATGCAGAAGCCAGGCGGTTGAAGCGCTCGACTCACAATCCCCGTCACCTCAAACATGCTCGCCCTTTCGGCCGTGGGGGCGGTATAATGTGACGGTCAATCCCACTATTCGTTGGTGAAAGAGTAGCCCAAGAGTTGGCGGTGGGTGGTGATGACTAACTGCCTTCCCTCTAGTCTTACACTGCTAGATTAGGGATGGCTAGCGCAGATAGCCCACGTGTAGCTTTGCGCGAAATTCAAAAACAAACGAACAAAACAAAAACTGACAAAACAACAAAATGGGAAACCGCAAA